ACATTCATCAGTTGTTCGCATTCATCCCTTGCTACCCTTATCACACCCTCCACTCCTTCTGTTGTTTCCCCCACTTGTTGATTTCAAATTGCAAAATCCTTTGGGGCAGAGCTTTGTCATTTAGTGCCACGTTTGCTGATGGCTAGTACCCAAGGATCATACCCACCCAAAGGGCTTGCCTATAGGGTGTTTTTTGTTTTAAGGAAGATTACATTGTGCCTCTCGGCTTTAGATCCCTTTGTTTAGCCTCTTTGCATTTGTGAGTGGCTGATTTGTATTTATGCCTAGACACATCCGTAGGGTATGTTACGTATATACATGCCAACACCTTTTGTGTGCCTTCCCTCTCCCTAAGTGTATCGGTTTTTCTACACAATTTGGAGACCAGAGGCCCCGGGGCAGTGGAGCAATTCAGACATTGTGTTGGGCTGGGGGCAGCAGTGTTGGATTGGGCGAAGGTGTCTCTTTGCTCAGCCCTGCTGGCCTCCTGCCAGCTGCTGCCCGTGGAGGGATGCCAGTGACACTCTGCTGGTACAGTACTCTCCCTTCCACTGCTGAATGAGTCAGTGGATTGGCAGAACTGCTACTATTGGGAAGTCCTGAAATGGGGCTTTCCAGGAATGGTGCTGAGCCAGCTTAGAATCCGTTGGATCCTGTGCATGCCTTCCTTCCATCACATGATTATATTGTAAAACAACCCTGTCATCCTTGGGTGAAGAAATTTAATAAATAAAACAAATTAATAAAATGATGGAATTGACCAGACCCAGATGCAAGAGCTGCATCAGCTCCAGGCTGGCACAGCGCCCCCTCACCTTTCACCCCAACCAAAATGTGCCGAAGTGCTGCAGATCCTGTGGTGGCTCTGCTGTTCTGTAATGCCCTTCTGGGCTGGGGAAGAGGTTAGGATTGCTCCCTAATTTACTCATATATGTTCTGGAGCCATTCAATCGTATCAGCAGCATGGGCTGGGATTGCAGCGTCCCTGATTATGATGGCATCTGTCACTTCTTCCTACTGGCAGTCAAATGCCACACCCTTTGGGCTTCTACCTACCTGCCAAAGGGAACTGTGGGATTTGTAGTTCTTCAGAGTGCATGTCATAAATGGTGGTGCACCTCTACGTTGTTTGAACTGTAGGTATTAGAGCAAAGCCTGAACCAGCAACTCACTGTTTAGAATGGTTTGGCTCCAGCAAAACTCATAAGATCTTTATGCTGGTATAGATAAAGGGAATTAAGTTTGTATAAACTTCCTTAAGCATATTCTGAAATATAGCCTCATTTCTCCACGCTGGGATAGTGAGCTTGCAGACCTGGGTGTCCCCACTCCACCAACCTAAGTAAAGTTCTCCATTGTGCTTGGGCCATTGTGTTAATAGTACTGCACAAACAGAATTATTATTAGCATTTGGTCACCATCACTAGCCCACCCTGTCTCCTGGCTGGTGCCTAGAGCATGTGAGCATTGATGGGACAGTGTTTTGGTCTCCAGGAGAGAAGTTGCTGACATGTTAAAACTGGAAAAATATAGGCCAGATTTAGCCTCTAGGCAGAATCAGAGGAGAGCCTGCAGCCAACTAATATCATTAGATAAGGAGAGTTATGGTGCCCAGGGGCAAAGCATGTCAATTATACCCCCAAGTGCTTCACAATTAACTTCTGCACGGTTTGTATGTCCCTTCCCTTCAGCTTGCATTGCACTAGTTTCATCCTGCCCCTTCTCCTATGGGCACACAGCTAACAGGGCGTCCCAGATACAACGGTGCAGTCCCTAAAAGCAGCAACCTGTATACTGTATGTCAAATGTAAGCTCTGCGATTGAACTCATCAACAGTTATGGGCTTTATCAAAATACAATTATTGTAGTTCTTCCCACTTGCAGATCAATGGTAATGATTAGCACAGGAAGCTGCCTCATCCCATTGATTCATCTGCTATCTACTGTGCATGATGCAGAGTGGTGGCAGCCCCACAGGTGTTCACAGAGCTCAGCCTGGATAGCTCAGCTGGTTAGAACATGGTCTGATAGTGTCAAGGTTGCAGGTTCGATCCCCGGAGGAACCGCTACATATTCCTGCATTGCAGGGGGTTGGACAAGGGTCCCTTCCAAATCAATGATTTTATGACTTGTATGACCTCACAGCTGCCTTTTGCCTTCCTGGTGAGCACAGTGTCACCACCAGAAGGGTGCTCCTGCCACTCTGCCCACTTATGTGCTGCTGCTGACACTGACTATCAGTGGCTCCACAGAGTTACAGAGAGAAGCCTTTCTCAGCTCTACCTGGAGATGCCAGGGACTGAACCTAGGAGAACTATTTGCATGCAAAACATATGCTAGATCACTGAGCTACAGTCCTTAACCCCAACCCAGTCACTGCAGTTACAGATAGTTAACTGCAGTCACTGCAGTTAACTCTTTTTTTTCTTGTGGACATGTCTCTGAATCACCATATGTGACAGTTTCTTGTGCCCTAGCCAGAAACCGAGGGTCCCTATTTGCCCAAGCCCTGAGTCAAAACACAACAACATACTGTATTTTCCGCTCTATAAGACGCACCAGACCACAAGACGCACCTAGTTTTTGGAGGAAGAAAACAAGAAAAAAAATATTCTGAATCTCAGAAGCCAGAACAGCAAGAGGGATGACTGCGCAGTGAAAGCAGCTATCCCTCTTGCTGTTCTGGCTTCTGGGATAGCTGCGCAGCCTGCATTCGCTCCATAAGATGCACACACATTTCCCCTTACTTTTTAGGAGGGAAAAAGTGAGTCTTATAGAGCAAAAAATACGGTAGATCCTCACTCACACTCATTCTGTGGAAGCAGAGGACCTATAAAAGGATGGGTAGAGGGGTTGTGCTGCAGAAGGAGAACACTTTTTTTTTTTTGTACCCAGAGATGCACTCCGGGTGTACAGCTCCAGTCCCCCTATACCACCTTCTTGAAAGCAGGAGACACCAGAGAGGACTGGAGAGACTTGACACATTCCCTTTGCATCCCTATCTGAGATTAAGCAGAAGGTGCAACAAGATCCACACCTCTCTGCAAAAGTGGATTGTGTCAACAATCACAACTGCACCCATATAGGAGTTACAATACCTGGAATCAATAGTTACAAAATGTTCACTGGTGTGCAAATTATGTTTTGAACCCACTGTCTTGAGTTTTCATGTGACCAGCACAGTTTATTCAATATTGGCATTTAAAGCATGTCTGTTAACTGGAAAAGGAGGAATGGGGGCTTTGGATAGCATTTTTCTCCTCTCTGTTCACCACATTCTAAGTTTGCAATTTTGAGTCCAAACACCAGTGAATGTTCCATGGAACTCAGTTGGATTTCTTCAGAGTAAATATCCTTACGATTGCTCAGCACATGCGTTTTCAAGGATGATGTACAAACTGATGCTTAAACTTGCCACATCTCTCCAATATGATGACCACCACATTGTGAACATTAAACAGTGTAGTACATTCTCACGAATAGCTTCCAGCAATGCTACACTTCAGATTGGGAGCAGCTGGATCCATGTCCCCAGGTATACCCAGCACTAGGCTCAATCACAGGCGAGTGACCAAAACAGCAAACAGAAATGAAAGAGTGAATTAAAATCGCTCTTCCAACCAAACCTACAATTAATGAATTTACATGAGTCCCTAATATGTGATATGTCCCTACTGCATCAGGGTAGCTAACATGGTGCCCTGCAAATGTTGTTTGCCAACAAGTCCCATCAGCCCCAGCCAGCATAGCTGGTAGTCAGGGATACTGGAAACTGTAGTCTAAAATGTCTGGGAGGCACATTTGCTATGACAGCAGCAGCAGAGTTGCAGCAGAAAGGGCTAGCCTTGGGAGTGAGCTGAAGTGACTAGTAGTACAAATTTGTTGAGAGGCAGCTCATGACTGTTTTTGTGGACATTCCTGGGAATGTCTGGGAACAGTCAGGCCTCTTACACTGCTAGGCTTTACAATCCCGCACAAGCCACAAATTGGCAGCAATGAAAAAAAGTGTGTGTGTGTGTGTGTGTGTGTGTGTGTAAAAGACTCTCCTTCCCAGAACGCTACTTATCCTTAGACTGGCCCTGGCAGCAGTGATCCAGTAAAAAGGTTGGGGTGGGGGATGGACATCAGAGAGGCTGGTGGTGACAGGGTGGGGAGGGGATGCCCCCCTGCCTTTGCAGCTAAGGAAGGGTAGTTTTAACTTGAGCAACTGCTTTTAGAAGGGAGTTTCCACCATGAAGCTTCCACAGGCTCCTGTTTGCCACCAATACTCCCCTCTTGAGTTGGGACAACCAGTGTAGCTACTCCTGTTTCCCACCCACTTTATCTTCCTTAAGCTTACCATGATTTAATGGGGGAGAGAGGGCCCTTTTCCAATGAGTAAAAAAAGGGGGGGAGGCTTTTAGAGCCACTGGACTACTAGCTGGGTGGGAAGATTGAATGGATGGGCAAAGGGTGGGTGGGTAGGAAGCGAAACTCATTTCCAATAACCTAATTCCACCCACCCACCCCCCTTCAATAGACACACACACACAGCATTTTTCCCTTTTAAAACGCCGTGTGGGGTAACTTTAACGAGCTTGTGTGTATTGACATTTACTACATGTTTTATGAAGGGGGAAGCTTTCAGGGCAGGCAGCGTTAAGGCAAGAAGATTCCTCCCTCCTCATCTCTTCTTTCCCCTCCTGCGGCGGACTTGTCCCTTTGTGGCTTGCAAATGGGCGCTTTCAATTAAAAAAAAGAAACCTAGAGCAAGAGGAGGAGGAGGAAGGGAGAGAGAGAGAGAGAGAGAGAGAGAAATGGCAGACATTCCAGGGCGAGCCATTGGTTTTGTTCTCCTCGCTGACGGCCTTTGTCCTGAACTCCCTTACCCCCCTCTGTTACCACAGTAATGAGAAAGTATGGCCACCCCGGTCTTATTACCATATCAATCTCCTCTTGCCCTGCCTGAGTCAGCCGAAGAGGGGGAAAGGGGGGCATAGAGGCTGCGAGGAGGCGGGAAAGGGAGAGGGGAGCACCCTCCATAATTTAGGGGGCATCCGGCATCACTTTTGCTTTGACACCAAACCTAGCGCTCTCTCTTTCCTCCTATGTCCCACCCCCGCTTACTTCCTAAGAAAGGCCCCCTCTCCTTCCTTCCTTCCTTCCTTTTTATTTATTTATTTATCTATTTATTTCCTCCTCCTCCCTCCGCCCAGAGCCCTTGGCAAGGATGGAGCGCAGGTAAAGCTCCCCTTTGATGCCATTCGCGGCTGCTCATTGGCTGGCTGGCGGGCCGGCGGTGCCTGCCACTGGCCGCTTTGTTCTCTCGGACGGAACGTTCCCCTGCCGGCCGCGCGGCTCTTGAGCGGCAGCAGCAGCAGCCGCAGCTCCTACTATGTGAAAGGGAAAGAGAGACAGAGACAGGCAGAGAGAGAGATAGAAGCACCGCGCCGGAGAGAGTTGCGAGGAGAAGGAATGACAGAAAGAGCTCGTTACTGCAGGCTGCAAAATAACAGCGGGGAGGAAGGGAGGGAGGAAGAGCGCGCCAGAGAGCGGCCCCACTCCCTCTCCCTGCCAGAGTGCCCGGCAGAAGCGGCGGCAGCGCAAGGGCAGGTGGAGAGGAGGGGGGGGGTCGCACTCCCTTCTTCCCCTCAGCAGCAGAAGACAAGGCGGCGGAGGCGGCGGCAGCAACCGGGGCTGGCCGCGAAGGCGCTCAAGGTAGGACTTTGCGTTCCCGCCCTCGCTCTGGCGCAGAGCCTGGCGCGCGCTGAAGAGGCTTGTCAGGTGGCTGCCAGCGACCTCGCCGGTCGGAGGGGCTCCAGCGGGGAGGCGAAACCCACGAAGCCCGGCTCCCGTTCCCTACACACCGTGACGGGGCAGCTTCTTGGCGGGAAGGAAGACAGGCGGGCGGGCGGGCGGGCAAGCAGCGCGCGCCCCTCTCCCGGACCCGTCGCCGGAACTACGGGGGGGGGCACGCCGTCCTCTGAGGCGAGGCTTTTAGTAGGACTCCTGGCGGGCGAGGCGGGAGGCGGGCGCTTCGAAAGGAGCTGCTGCTGCTGCTGCTGCCTCCAGCTCGGCTGGCATTAGAACGGAGGCAGATTTTGAGCGGGAGGACGAGGAGGGCGGCGGCGGCAGGTGAAGGCAGCGCTGCGTAGGGCGAAGATGCTGGAAAGGGACTGGCAGGTGAGCGGAGGGGAAACTGAGGAGGCTCCGGGGCGTGGAAGGAGGGATGGGGAGCGGGAAGCCGGGAAGGCTGGGGCAGGGAAGTGCCTGGGCAACCAAAGACCAGCAGCCTTCGAGACGCCTCGTGCCCAAACTTAACTTTCTTTCCCTTGGATTCGGCTCCCGCTCGCTGGGTTTTGCTTTTCCTTTCTGCAGACTGTGATGGTTGGAGTGGGGGGGGGGGTGAGAGCAAATTTCGAAGTGTAGCCGAAAACTTGTAACAGCTGATGCTGCTCTTGCCTTGGAAGTGCTTGCAGGTAGATGCTATTCGAGGGTTGGGGGGGTGGCCGGGAGCACCGGCATGTTGCCTCCCCCCCCCCCCAGACTTGGCTGAGGAGGGACAGGAGCAGCCGAGGTGTGGGATGCTGGTAGCATCACCACCTGAATGTGGGGAGATTCTCCTGTCCATTCATTTCAGTGGAATTTTGCATCTTCCAAGAATCCTGAATCGCATTGGGGTTGGTTGGTTTTTTAAGCCAAAGCAAACGAACAACATCATAACCCTATGCACAAGAGGTTTCAGATCTGGAGCATGCACCCATTCTCTCCTGAACTCTTCAATAGTTCTGTGGATGGTGTGGTGCCAGTGGACCTTATTCTGATCTCAGTTTGCATTTACCCAGGAATCACTATGTCCTTGAGGTTAAGCAAGTGGATTTAAATCCTCGGAACTGAAATCAGAATCTGGCAACCTTTCCTCTGACCCTATCTTCCTTTCTCTCTCTGTCAGGTTTCGCCCAAGAGATCTTTCTGAGCATTTGCTGCTAATATTAACCTTTCTCTTTCTCTTTCTCTGTCTTTGTTACGTGTTCATGTCTCTCTGTTTTGTATGTGTGCGGTTCATAAGTATCTTGAAGAAAGAAAACACCCCGTCAGTGAGGAGCATCTGCTCTCATGTGCTCATATAATCTGTTACTTGACCACTTGTGTTGTAGGATCACTTGCAACACCATAGAGAAAGTCACAGTTTAATTCACATTGCCTCTTTCCTTGGAGGCTTGTCCGCTTCTTAGCAGGGGGGGGGGGAGGCAAGTGTAGGTTACAATTTAGAACACAATAAAATTCTAGCATGACATGTGCCTACTTATTATTTTAAGAAGAGGGGGCATTTTCCAAGTTTCATGAGTGCTGTGGGGTCTCAAGAGCAGGTGAAAACCTTCATTATTTAACCTGACATAATCTATCCCTGGATTTGAAAACTAGCTATTGATAACAAACCCGTTGAAACCAGCACTAACATTAGGGGCTGTGCATGCACAAGCAGAGGCATTCGCTGCGTTACTCCATCTCTGTCTCCATGTAATAAGCACTTGGGATGGGAGTATTGCTTCTGCAGGTGCTACAAAATTAACGTGGAATGCTAAATCACTAGCCATAGTTGACCCTTTTGAGTGAGCCAAGCAGCATCCATAATCTATTGACTAAGTAGAGCTACATTTTCTTAACGGTGTATTTCGGGCTATTGTTATATTACATGCTGAAGCCATATGGGGTGTTGGGAATAAAGTCTGAACGTTTATTTGCCAGCTCATGAAAATTAAGAGCAGGCAGCAATGGGTGCTTTTGTCAAATGTAATAACAGAAAGTACCCTGGTCGCTCCTTGTTGTGATTTCAGACTAGTTTGAAATGGAGACCTTGAGGAACAATGAACCTTGGGCACTTGAGCCTCATGCTAGCCAGCTGTTCTGTCACTGGCGCTGTGCAGCTTGCCAAGATTGTTGAAGGCTAGTGGCACAAATGCAACTTTGTCGAACTTAAAAAGGGTGGCTGCAGGAGTGTTCCCCTGTAGTGTAGGGCCTGCTCACCTTCCTTATGTTTCCTGAGCTTTTATTGATTTCCCATTTAGCGATTCAAAGTGACTTGCCAAGATTGGGTCTGCTCAAGAGGGCATTGGTATCTGTGTGTGTTTAAATGTAAAAAGAAAAACTGAATTTACAAAACAGTGGCAGCTTTAACATAACATACTAACTCAAAAAAAGAACAAATAAACTTATAATGCACTACAATGAAATAAGGCAATGGAAGTTTTAATGTTCTTTTCTAGATCCAAGGACCCTGTATCTACCCTGCTTTGTGTTTCAAGGATCTCTGTGTGATCCTATGTGTCACAGAAATCAGATGTCAAGGTTTGAGGGCATTCAAGGTTTTTTGCTCCCTCTGTGATTCTGTCTTTTATCCAGTAGGGATTCCTGTGCACTACATATAGCTGGGGGCAGTGCTATTTTTCTAGAAAAAGAGGTGCCGGAACTCACCATGAATGCCTCCCTTGTTCTCTTATAATGGCAATAGTGCCCACCTGAGAGGTGCCGGAACTGATTTCCAGTTGGAAAACAGCCCTGGCTGGGGGAAATCTCCTTGCACACCTACAGAGCTACTATTTCTATGTTCTAAGAGATTATATAGAAATAGTAATGCATACATAGTTATGGAAACTGAGTGTGCATTATGTGCTTTTGGCACTTCAGCATTTGGACTGGATCACCAAACTTGGATCTTGAATTCAAGAAATAGTAACAATCCTCACTGATATTTATGTGGTTGTGGGAGGCATGAAGAAAGAATGAGCCAAATTTTTATTTCAGATGGCTAACCACAGAAATTGGAGTTATGTTGAGGGGGTGGAATATATAGGTGTTGCAAAAATTGTAGCTATGCCATTGCATTGTGTTGCATTGGAAAAATGAACCATTATCTTAAAAGGTAGAATGATGCTTCTTCCCCCATTGCTTGCAATTAATAGAAGGCAGTACATACATTACTTCAAGTTAACAAATAGTTCTGGGAATATTCAGTGAAGTTCACCATACTAGTTGAGAACCTGTGCTCAGTTATTCTGTTATCACTGCATAATGGAACATTGTTTCACTGCTTGGCTATGTCTCTGCAGTGCTTTTCCGTACTATCTTCTGTACAGGCTAATATGGGGAAACTGTCCATATTACTAGCTTTGAGCCAAAGGGACAAGTTTATTTCACGTATGGCTCCAGGTTTTTAACTTAATAATATCTGGAGGGAATTGTGTAGAGACTTTGCTTTCAACCAGCACATTTCTAAAATTTGCCTTCGCATTATGCTAACTGAACGTTGCAAATAAATAATCAAAGCTCCTAGCCAACTATGGTTCTAGCCCATTATGGTTCTGACTTTCCTATCTGCCTAAAGCTTCCTTTACAAGCCTCTGCTAACTGCCATTAACCTTACTGAGCAGTTTTGCATTTTGTCTGTTACATTTATATCTCCCTTTCCTGTAAAGAATTGTGACATATAACTTAAAGGTACAGTTGACTGAGAGAGAATGGCTGACCCCAGGTCATCCAGCAAACCTCCAGGTGGGAATGTGAACTTTGACCTTCCCCCACCCAGGGTTCGATCCACTGTACGGACTCTGCCACATGTACCGGCAGATTAGAATACAGCCAATATTCCTGCCTATACTCACGACTGGATAGTGTTTCCAGTGAGAGATACATATTACAAAAGCATACAATAACTTAAGGGGACTGCAAACCTGATAGGATTCACAACCATTCAGGTGTTTGGGGGGGTTGAAGTATGTGAAGATCCTAAGGGTGTTATGACTTCAAGCATTGCCACTGTTGTTGAACAAAATGCTTTTGCTCTCTGGTCACCTCAATGCACCTATGCTACATTTTAATTGCGGCACCTATATATGCCTATATAGTCAAAACCCAAAAGTTTTATTTACAGTAGTCATTTTTCATTTCCATCCGCATCTCTTTCAATTCTCTGCTTTTCCTCTTTCTTCCCTGGCATTGGTTTCATCAGACCCCCATTCCCCTCTGTCTTTTTTGAAGGAACCCTTCCTGTCTCTTAATTCCACTGTTATTCTCTTTACCCTGCTTCTTTGTTTCAGCTGAAAAATTGCTCCCCTTTAAAAACAAAAACAAAAAGCCCACCTTTCCCAGCCATTCTGGTAAGTATTTTCTCCAGAGAAGCATCCTGAAAAGGTTAGCGCAAGAACCAATAGCAAGTCTTCTTTTGTTTTCCTGTCTAGATTCTCTGCCCAGGAGAAACATGGGGTCTTCCCAGTAGAACCTGCCATTTCCCCCAAAACAGCAGAAACTAATGGAAAGAGGGCGGAGTTTAGATATTATAGGGCACAGAATAGAAACTGCACCAACAGCATCTAGCCAAAGACGCAGAAGTGAAGCATTACCCAGGTATATGTGTATGTTGTTGTTGCCTGGGTTGTTTGTATCAGGTATATTTCCTTGGATGTGTTTCTCTTGGTACATTTCCCCCCAATTTGCATCACTGTTCCATTAATATTTTTGATTTGCATTAAGTACACCTGAGCATTTTTAAGTGCTTGTGCCAGTGTTTTAGTGTGGCTGCCCAGAGGCTTTTATTGGTGTTGCTGTGTCAATGTCTTATTATATCAGCATTATTTGCTCACCTAGGTAAAGTTGCCTTGCCTTGCGTTTTACGGGACAGATATTCCTATCTTTAGAACCCTACAGGTTTAGCATTCTTAAAAAGCAAACGTCAAGCAAGTAATACTGGAAAGTAGGGTTTTTTGGGTGGGGGGGTGTCATGGCCTCCTTTTGCTGTGCTCATATCAATGTTGTTTGTTTCTTTGTCCTGCACTTGTAGTTTTCTCTGTGCTAGTGGTCCACTGTAGCTTGTTTCTATTTGTCTATTCGGCATCCTGATGTTTTTGTAACCTTAGTTTGTGCAGATGTGTATATGTACTTCTGTATTCATGTTTGTTCTGCATGTATTGATGCAAGTATTGACACTGATACTGAATCCCAAGAGGGAATCTCATTTCAGCCTGATGCAGAAAATGTAGGGTGGTGGGGAAGAGTCTGATCAGAATAACCTTTGTTATTATATATGCTGATTATAGTACTAGAGGTTGATACGTGTATTCACTGGCTAGTTTTAGGTGGTTTGCTATTCAATGTTTGGGGCCGAATTATTTTCCTCAGCTGACAGAGGCTTCAGATAATTCAGTGCGAGAAAAGCCTGGTGGAATCTGAAGATCAAGATAATAACCCTTTGTTTTTAACTTGAGGAATGAATGAGTAATTCTATCATTACTCTTCATCTGATACAGAGGCTGGGTTGGGAATATCAATAAGTTTTTAATGAATCTTCTGTCATCACAATGAGACGTGGGCTCTCAAAATTAAATCAAGTATGCTAGATTGCCAACGCTGGTGTGTATATGTGGCAGAAAGAATGTCCATTATCTTCATATGTTTCCTTAAATATTACGGCTGATCCATTATTCATTAGTGCTACCCTTCCTTTCTTAAATGCCATGTATTTCAAGGCAACTGTGTGTTTAGACACTAAGGATATTCCTGAAGCCAGTGTATAAAATCACTGACAGTTTTCCTTCCTCCCCACCCCATTTCTGTGAGGTCATCCATGAAATAGTTTGGATTCACAGGGGGAGAGTGGGGGGAGATCAATCCTAGATTATAAGGGCACTAGTATTTCAGTCCAGAATTGAGTCTAAAGATGAAAAGCAAAACACAGACTAGTTTCTTCTTTGTGCCAAGTGTAGCTGCTGAGCTGTCACTGCTGTGGGGAGCCTTTTGTGAGATACCATCTCATTGTCTGTGCAAGCTAATACCTGGTGTCTTTCTCCTGCAGTCTAGTTCTCTGCTCATGGATAGCTCAAAGAAGGAAAATAAAGGACAGGGGAGGAGAAGTGGCTAAGGAATGTAGACAGGTCAGACTCCCCCCTAGCCTTTAGATCTAAACTCCTTCACAGTATCACAAAGGCTCTGTGTATGTGAGAGGGAATGTATTTGCATATGTTAAAGCTGGTCAAAAGCAAGAATTTACCATTTTAGAATAATCCCAGCTATCAAATGCTTAAAAACAAAACGAAAACAAACCTGTATTTGAAAAGGTTACCTTTCTTTCTTTCATATGTGTACTGGAACAACAACAACAAAAAGTTTTTTGTTAAAATGTGGAAATTTAGTTTTAATACCAACACTTTAATATATAACAAGAACTGGAACAAAATTATGAGTTTAAAAAATGTAGTGCAAGTTATTAAATATTGTACCAAAGGATGGAAGAATATGCATTAAACTGTTCCCCCTGCCCCCTTACTAAGCTTAAAGTTTGGTATGATTATGTTTGTTTGTAATTAGTTTTACTTTAACAGTACTGCCAACACTAGGTTTTTAATTAACAATGCCTTTTCTGCCTTTTATGTCTACTAAAGGTAAGAACTTGCATCTATGCACAACACCACACCACCCAACAACTTACCATTGTGTGTGTGTGTGTGTGTGTGTGTTTGTGTAAGTGTGTAAAACTGGATCATGTCCCGACTTTGGGTGGTGTTAATACACCTCCTAGTACCATACTAACCAAATTGCTAAGTGATGTAGCTGCCCGGGCACATCCACCTGATGAGCAATTGATTGTGCACAATATTTGCTACCTTAAACTAGCGGAGATGCATTGTCTTTATGTACAGTAATTATGGCCAACATCAGAGGTCTTTCTAATTTTCCCATGGAGTCCAGTTCACTGTTGCAGATAGCTTCAGTGGACTGAATTTCATTGTAGCTAATACTTTACAGATTCCTCAGTCATGTTGAACTCTACTTAGAATCATAGAATTGTAGAGTTGGAAGGGACCCTGAGGGTCATCTAGTTCAACCCTCTGCATTGCAGGAATCCTGCCCACTGTCGTCCATGAGTGGGTTTGAACCACCAACCTTCTGGTTAACAGCCTGATTCACTGACCCGTTGTGCCACATGTTATATATTATATCTACTTGCATATACTGGTTCCACGACATGGAAACAAAACAACTGCTAAACAAAACAATCAAAACTCCTCAAAGTAGGAAGCACTTCCGGTTGTTTCTCTGGCCTTCAGGGAAGCAGTTCTGAGCATGCTCATAGTCAACGTGTGATACTGATACACTACTGCTACCACATAGGACTGTCTTTGAAGCAGCCTATATCTGCTATAGTGGCTGTGCTGGACAGGTCTCGTAACAACAGATCAGGGCTGACTTCCTGCAGCCCAGTCAGTCACATGATTTGAGATAGGCCTCTTTGCCATAGCTATACTTTGGGGTTAGGATTGGCTGAGTGGTGAAGAGAGCTGATTGGCAAGAGAACAGGGGATTCACAGAAATTTTAAATTTAAGGAAATATTAAAAATGTATGTAGGACAGAAATGTGTATGTGGCTTTGAGATTTTGAGGAGGAAAAATTGCTTGACATTTTCATTGGGAGGGCTGTGTCTCAGTAGCCCCAGTGGACCAGCCTCCATTGCCTAACTCTCATATTCAGGATTCACTGTGTGAGGGAACTTCACTCTTCGACATACTGTGTCTGGTTAGACAAATTCAGAACCCCTCCAGTTCTGGGAAACATAGGGTAGTATTCAACTAAATTTTACTCAGAGCAGACCCATTGAAATTAATGACCATGACTAAGTTAATTCATTATTATTATTATTTATTTTATTATTATTTATTAAATTTGTATACCACCTTTCATCCATAGATCTCAGGGCAGTTCACAACTTGGTTTCATTGGGTCTACTCTGAGTAGCTTTAGCGTGATCACAATTTTAGCAGTGAAAGTAAATGCATTGTGGGGTAGAGGTTGTGTTTGCCAGCTATATCCACAGACCACATACTGATGCAAAATTCAGAGGCAGCATACATGCAGTCGTTCCCATTGGTACATGCTGAACAAGTGCTCTCCCTACTTTTACTCTTGGGAAGTAAAGTTTGCGTGTATCCAGTACATGCACATTGGGATGCATAAGCACATGGCATCTTAAATAAAAGGAGCATGAGCACTTTTAGTTAATAATATTCCTGAATCTTTTGATGTGTTTTATTTGAAGTGAATAGAAACTTCCAGAGGCTATCTGAAATGTGTGCTCTGGTGTTTGGCACAATATGGCTTAGTTTAGGGCTGAGCCCCTCCTAGCTGCCCGCACTGTTCAGATTCTGACCTTTCAGTGATGTGGGGTTTTTTGGAGTGGGGGGCAACAAACATGTGCTAAGTATTCATCTTACCACACAGAAGTTGTATTGCCTGCTGCCGGGCACCATTTAAAAAAATACTTTTGTTTTCCACAAGGTGCCATAATGAGGGCACGAAACACAGCCCTCATGCTGATTTAGCTTCAAATGGTAGCACGTAGCCAATTCTCATTGGTTATCATGCGTACTTCGAAGCCAAATCAGCCTTAGCGTAGTTGCAGCTGTGCCATAAACCCTTAATCTGCCTGTCTGCCTGCCTGATAGTTTAAGAAAGTCATATTTCTCTTTTAAAAGTCATTCATGTTAAGTTGTTGATTTGAAACGAAAGGACTCGTCTTGGGTTCATTTCACATGAGCGAGTCTTTTCCAATTTGACATTTTGATTCAATAAATGTTTGCTCTCCTGCCAGAAAGATGGTAAAACCATCCACACTTCCATGGTGACTTATTTTGGAGGGTGGGGAGAAGCAGATTCATACGTAAGGTAATTCCTTTGGTTGGCAGTTTTGTGCGTCTAACTACTCTCCTTTTCTAGATGGGGAAACAAAGCTATGAATGAACTGGTGACATGTCCTAGATCACAAATCATTTAGTCTTAGGTTATATAACTTATATATGATAACTACATAGAATGACAGGAACATTCCACTTCTCATTTTTTTTGGGGGGGGGGGAAATGGTGTACGTATGTGGAGGGGCCGAGAGCTTGTATCGTTCATGATCACAGGGCAGGAGTGAATAACAGTTGTCCTAAGCCCTTGTATAAGAACAATGCTACAAAGTAAACCCATATCAGGAAAAGGGTCCATAGAAGCAGATCAGAGACATGCCATATCAGTACTACCGGAAGCCAAGCAGGAGAAGTGGCCGAAGTTTTGAACAGGATGTTGCTATACTCCAGCCCATGTATGGGTTATTATCGGACAATCTAGAACTAGGCAGGACTAGAATTGTTAGAACTCGGTTTTATGAGATGATTGTTCACCTGTCCAAGAGGGCAGGTTCTGTATCAAAACAGTCAAACCATCGCTTTAGGGAACATGAGAGTCCAAGGTCTGATTCCTTATACGTATGTCCTGCTTTGCTTTGGAGGAGGGAGCTGTGAAATGTCAACATTTCTTTGTAGTTCTTTTATTCTGTCAAGACCAGAATCCTCTATGCAAGGCCAAATCCAG